AAAAAAAAAAAGCCACTACATCTCATTGAAAAGTGACCCCGCAACCCCACACACAAAAAAAGTGGTTGTTTTATTTATAGAAACAAATTGTTTCAAATAAAATCAAAGAACTGATTTTGTTTCTTACTAATTATTTTAGTGTGCCATGGATTTAGCCTGGAATATAAAACTGTATTTGTTAAAGCAACATTCTCATATATTGAAATACAGACTTACTTACGGTCTTGCTCTCTTGCTAACTAATCTAGCTCAATGGAGTCTACTCGCTTCTTCTCTCTGAACTTCATTTCTCCCACTGCTAAAGGGAAAAGCTGCTCTATTCACGAGCTGCGCTAATGCGGCTAGTGCCACTGAGGAACTGAATGTACCCAAAGTAATAACTGGGCAGTATCTCTATCTCTTATATTGTAAAACTTACCTAAAACTAAAAGGTACTTTCAGTTTTTTCAGATTTTGAATTAACTGCTCTGTGATATTGTTAGAGAGGTCCAGTATTGTGTGGTGGCTCAATTAAGATCTTCCACTTTTTGTAAAATATTCTTTTTAATCTTTTCTTCATAATTTTAAAACAGATTTGCCTTAATTGTGATAATTTATTTTTTCATCTCCCCAGCTAAAAATGGTTGTCTGGTACAAGAATACAAGCTGGCCAAAGTTACAAGCTCAAATACTTTAAAAATTGTTTAAAATTTTTTTTGTTACACATTTAGTTCTGATCTCAGACGACTAATGTCATCAGTTATTTTTTGACTGTTGAGAGGCAACTTCTTATGTATTAATATACATTTGCTCTGGAGTCCATGGGTAGTGCAGTGGTTAAGTGTTTGATTATTAACTGAAAGGTTGGAGGTTTGAACCCAACCTGGAGAGCCTCAGAAGAAAGGCGTGGCAATCTGCTTCTGAAACGTCACAGCCTTGATATCCCTATTTAGTCGGTTCTATCCTGTGCACATGTGTTCATGTGTGCACGCGCACGCACACACACACACAGTATGCATTTGCTGAAAATGTCTCTGAATATCGTCCACTTGGTTATCCTAAAACTTTTTTACGCAAACAGCATAAATGACTTCCAAATTTACAGAGAAATGTCTTTGTCTATTTGCAACCTTAAAAAAAAAAAAAAAGGATCTCATGTCGTAGGTATTTCTGAATCATTTACATCTGTCATTTTCAGCTAGATATGAAAAAGTTAGTTTCGATCAAGACAGACAACGGGTCAGCTATGCTAGAGCGAAACTATAGATGTACTGGAATTACTTCCCTCATTCATTCCACTGTGTGATACATACTGAAAATGTCTGTGCTCAGTTTTCTAAAGGAGATTATCATGGATACAGTTACTAAAATTGTTCAGTATATGTGCAAATGCTGTGAATCATCACCAGTTTACAGAACTGCTGAAAGAAATAGAAGACAATGAATTTAACAATCGTGTGTTCTTTGCCAATGCTCGTTGCTTGAGTCATGGAAGAGTATCAAAGATTTACTGTACTGCTAACTCCAATTCAAGATTTTCTTGAAGGAATAGTTGCCAACATTTAACAGTCAAAAGAAAATATGGCGTTGTGTTCTACATTCTTTCACCTATGTCACATTGGATATGCATGAGCTACATATGAAGATCCAAGAAGAGAAAACATTTATTTGTGACCTAGCTAGAGAGGTATGAGACTTTATGTTGTTACCGAAACTCTTCATAACGCAAATCAATAATAATGATCTTACACACTTTTCAACATGAATCAGTGTGCAGGAGATTTTAACTGTAATCGACAGTATTATGTAAATTGGCTATAAAACCTACAAGAAAAATCTGAAGAACACTTTGTTGTTATGGATACATTTAAGAGTTGCTTTTCAGTCCATGTAATATTCCTTTAAAATCAGTGTTAGCGATACTGAGCTGTCACAAGAGTTCGTGGATTTCCTTAAGTTGGACAGGTACAGTTTTGAAACTGACATGCTTTTGCTTTGGAGTCAAATCAATTGTTCTAAAAAGATGACCTAGTTTTGTCAAAATGAATGCGAGTATTAAGGAAAAATGATTTACTTATTGGAAAACTTAATATTTGGAATAGTGTGAATCTAATTTTTATGACTAAATACAGATCAAATATTTCCAATGAAAATTTAGCATCTGAATTAAGAAGTGATGTTAAGTTTAAAATATACTGTATTTCGAAGATTTTATATGAAAAAAAGAATGAAAACAATCTCTAATAATTTTTATATTGATTACATGTTTAAATGATAACATTTTGGATATATAAGCCACACAATACTGCAAATCACGGCCTAACCAAGTTGACATATTTTTGGGAGACACAATTCAATCCATAACATGATTAAAATTCATTTCACCTGTTTCTTTTGCTTTTTTTAATGTGGCTACTAGAAAATTTAAAATTGTATATGTGGCTTGCATTATTTCTGTTAGCTAGCAC